CTCGGGATCGCGATCGTCGGGTCGGCGCCAGTCCTCTCCTCCTCCTTCTCCTCCTCCTCCTCCACCCCACCACGACCACCACCACCACCACCACCTCCTCCTCCTCCTCCGCCTCCGCCTTCCGCCTCGCCTCCGCCTCCGCCTCCGCCTCCTCCTCCGCCTCGGCCTCCGCCCCGCCTCCTCCTGCTCCTCCGCCCGTCCGTCTCCTCCTCCTCCCCTCCTCCTCCTCCTCCTCCTCCTCCTCCTCCTCCCTCCTCCTCCTCCTCCTCCTCCTCCCCCTCCCCCTCCTCATCCTCCTCCTCCTCCGCCACTCCTTATAAATAACTTCTCCCTGCCGCACCCCGAAGCAAGTTGTTAGGGCGGCTGGGCTTTGCGCCTGAGACTTCCTCATCACTCATGACTCTGAAGCTTCAAAATTGGCACCAGTTTCACAGATTGAGGACGGGTGGTTTTCAAAATGTGGCCCTCGCCTTAGCGCGGCGCACATTCGTTCTAAACAATTGCCAGAGTGTCACGTATTGAGGGCGGGTGGTTGTTCAAAATGTGGCTCTTGCCTTAGCGCGGCGCACATTCGGTCTAAAAAGTTGCAACAGTTTCACAGATTGAGGGCAGCTGGTTTTCAAAATGTGGCTCTTGCCTTAGCGCGGCGCACACTCGTTCTAAAAGTCTGCAACAGTTTGACGGATTGAGGGCGGGTGGTTTTCAAAATGTGGCCCTCGCCTTAGCGCGGCGCACACTCGTTCTAAACAATTGCCAGAGTTTCACGTATTGAGGGCGGGTGGTTTTTCAAAATGTGGCTCTCGCCTTAGCGCGGCGCACATTCGCTCTAAAAACTTGCAACACTTCACGGATCGAGGGCGGTCCATTTTCAAAATGTGGCTCTCGCCTTAGCACCGCCCGCGCACATTCGTTTACATAATTTGCAAAAAGGTTCACGGATTCCCATCATCGACGTATTAGAAATTGCGTTCTCAAAGGATTCAGGATTTATGCGGGTGCAACAGTTATGTTGCTTCGCGGTGTTGAAGGCCCAGAAATGGCGTTCTCGCCTGATTCAGGATCGTCAAGACGCAAAAGTCAGGTTGATCCGTGGCGTTGGAATCCAGAGTCTTCAAATGATTGTCTTCGAACGAGGCAGTTCCCTCAGAGGAAATGAATCGCTGTAAGGGCCTATGAAGGGGGAGCTTGGAGGGAGGGTTGACTCTTGGGTTTACACTGGTCCTCCTCCTCCTCCTCCTCCTCCTCCTCCTCCTCCTCCTCCTCCTCCTCCTCCTCCTCCTCCTCCTCATCACTCCCAAACCCAGGTCGCGATGACTCGGGTCGGCGCCAGTCCTGGCTTTGGTGTCTGCTCCATGGGAGCCTACGTGGCCCTCAGCGCTGTCCGATTCGGACCGGATTGGGGCCAAATCTGGAGCACATTTGGGATCGGATTGGGATCGGATTTGGACCGGATTCGCCCGCTCGCGAAGGAGACGAGAAGGAAAACGAGGAGGGGGAGGAGCAGGAGAAAGGGCCAAATGCGGTCCAAATTCAGGAAGGGCTGATTTCAATGTCGCCTCGCAAGGCTCCCATGAACAGACATCGAACCTGGCCGGGGAACCCCGGCTGGCCGCAGAGTAGCTCCCAAACCCAGATCTGTGGAGGGAGGGGGAGGGGTTGGCTCCACGTGGCTATTTTCAGTCCGCCCCTCCCCCCGAAGTCCCGCCCCTTTCCCAGGGACCGGCGTCTCGTGCCGCCACGGCCCCCCGAGGCCGAAAACGACAAACAACGAAACCCAAAAAGAGGCCATGCTTGCTTCCCGACGCGAGCGTGTCTCGGAGGGGATTGGCGGACCCAAGCTGGCGCTGACCGTTGGCCCCCGACACGTGCTCCCCGACCACCCGCTGCGCCCGCGCCGCCCGCGCCGCGCGCCGCGAGGGCGGCTCCAAGAGCGGCACCCCACGCCGTTCGCCGCGGGCTCTGCGCGGGGCCGCAGGCGCGGGGAGCCGACCCTGCCGCGCCCATGCCCGGAACGCCCCGGAGCCCGCCCCCCGCTTCCGGGCGGGCCCGCCCGTCGCGGGCGCGCAGCCCCCTGCTGCGGGGAGCTGTGCGGGAAGAGGGAGGAGGAGGAGGAGGAGGAGGAGGAGGAGTAGGAGAGGAGGAGAATGGGAAGGGAGGGAAAAGTTAGGTAGGAGGAGGAGGAGGAGGAGGAGAGGAGAGAAAAAGGAGGAGGAGAGAGGAGGATAGGGAGGGAGAAGGAAAGGGGAGGGGGAGGAGAGAGAGGTGAGGGAGGGGGAGAGAGGGATGAAGGAGGGTGGAGTATAGGGAGGGGAGGAGAGGAGGGAGGAGAGGTGGAGAGGGAAGGAGAGGGAGGAGAGGGAGGAGGGGGGGAAAGAGGAAGGGCACGGGGCGGGGCTGGCCGCCCTGCTTCGGGGGGGCGGCCCCGAGGCCCACCCTCTGCTTCCGGCGGCGAGGCCCCCGCGCGCGAAGGGTGGCCACCCCTGGGCTGGACCCCAGCGGGCGTCAGGACATCACAGCGAGCAAAAACGAGAAGGAGAGAAAGGTAGGAGAGGGGGGAGGAATAAAAATCAAAAAAGGTAAAGAAAAAAAAAAAAGACCTCCAAAACCCTGCTCCCTCCCGCCCCGCGCCTCCCCCCGTCCCTCGCCCCCGCCCGCCCACCCTTTTCGTTGTCCCCCCCGTGCCTTCGAGCGGGGGGGAGAAGGAGGGGCGGGGTCGCTGGGGTCGCCGCCGCGGCAGAGCGGCGTAAACCAACCGCACGCTCCATGAGTTATCGTGTCATTACGTAATCCCTGGGACCCCGAATAGGCCGTCGGAGGCCCAGAGCTGGTAGAAGGTCAGACGTTTTGTCTGCCAAGGCCCCGGATCTCTGCGGGCCTCAGAAGGCCGCAGATCGGCTTAGGGAAGGCCACAGGGCATGATTCTGGCAGACTTCCTAGACCTCCAACATCGTGCTGTCTTCACGATGTGCTCGTCCTCGGTTCCGCTGTTCGGGCGCCATTCCCTGGGAAATCAAATGATGCAGGCCAAAACTGACCCGAGCTCCAGGGGCCCCGTGGTGCAAGAAAAACTGGCACTGGAGGTCTCGAGGTCTGGGCCTCAACAAAATGCAACTGCTGGAAAAAACGTCCCCCCAGCAAAACCAGCACACACACACACACACATACACCCACAAAACTGTTTGGTCCGCGGGCGCAAGAGAATCAGATGCCGGCCAGGCGACGGGAGGGACACTCCAGAAGCGAAGTGGGTACTAAACAGATGCGGGCAAAGAGGAGGAACCGCCCACCCACCCACCCACCCACCCACCACCCACAGACACACACACACACACACACACGCACACAACAAAAGAAACACACACTACACATATACGGCCAAAACAGAAAAACAGCACACACACACAGAACACACACACACACAAAAACACCACGCACTCCACGACACGCACGGCACGCACGCACGCAAAAACGCGCACAACTACAACACACACACACACACACATCACACACACACCCACACACACACGCACAGCACCCAAACTCACACAACACACACTCACACCCACACACACACACACACACACACCACACGCACAAAGACGCACACTCACACGCACATGACACACACACACCACACACACACACACACACACACAGACACACCACACACACACACACACACACAACTCCCAAAAACACAAACACAAACACAAACACACACACACACACACACACACACACACACACACACACACACACACGGTTCTGTTCCTCCAGCAGCGAGCTGACGACACCGTCGCGACGCGCTGATTCTGATCACGCTTCGGCGAATTTCCACCTGGCGTAGTAGATGGGTGGACTGGACGGGGGCAGCAACTTGCAAAAAAATACGGAAGCGGATGCACGCAGAAAGGCCACACACACACACACACAAACTCCGAGAAACCGCAACAAACTTGGGGAACAGCACAGGAACTTGGATAACGCCGAAGTCTGAGAAGACCAGCAGGCGTCCCCTGAGGTCCCCAGCTCGGGAGGTCTGATCCACCTCCTCCTTCTCCTCCAGCGTCCTCCTCCCTCCTCAATTCTCCTGCTCCTCCTCCTCGTCCTCCACTCCTTTTTCCTTATGAAGAACTCCTCCCTGTCGCACCCCGAGCCAGTCGGAAGGGCGGGCCAGGCGTTGCGCCTGAGACTTCCACTTATGCGCCTGATGCTTAGAAACTGGCAGCAGTTTGGCATATGAAGGGCGGATGGTTTTCAAAATGTTGCTCTCGCCTTAGCGCCGCGCACATTCGTTTGACAAATGTGCAACAGCTTCACAAATTGAAGACAAGTGGTTTTCAAAATGTGACTCTCGCCCTAGCGCCGCGCACATTCGTTTGTAAAATGAGCAAGAGCTTCACGGAGTGAGGACAGGTCAACGTGGCTCTCGTCTTAGCGCCGTGCACATTCGTTTGCAAAAAAATGCAAGGGTTTCAAGGATTGAGAGCGGCTCGTTTTCAGTATGTGCCTCTCGCCTCAGCGCCGCGCAAATTCGCTTTACGATTTACGGATTGAGGGCGGCTCGTTTGCGATATGTGGCTCTCGCCTTAGCGCCGCGCGCTTTCTTGTTTAAATCGCGAGAGCTTCACGGATTCATGGTTAGCGTACCAGACATGTATTTTTGGGACGATTCAGGCTTGTCAACGCGAAACAATGAAATTCATTCGCGGCGTTAGAGACCCCGGAATGGTGTTCTGGCATGATTCAGAATCGTCAAGGCGCAACAGTCAGGTTGACTCGTGGCGTTGAAGTCATGAGAATGGTGTTTTGCCACGTCTCAGGATTTTCACACGGTTGTCTCCCAACGGGGCACTTCCCTCAGTGGGAGTGAACCCTTGTAGGGGCCTGTGACAAGAGGAAGCTTGGGGGGAGGTTGTATGTGAGCATCGTTGATGAGTCCTGGGTTTACACTGGTCGTCCTCCTCCTCCTCCTCCTCGATGCTCCTCCTCGATGCTCC